CTTCTGAAGTTTCAACAAAATTTACAAGAGGAATCAAGCAGAATCAATTTCTTGCTTTGTACTATCAGCAGTTGCATTTCATCAGCAATATTTTTGCTTCTTTCCATCAGAAATAAAGTACTAGAGATATGATGCAACGAATATGGAGATTCTTCTTGGGTAGTAATAATTTCCAGCCATTGAGTTACATGCTGTCTATTTCTTTTAAAATAATCTGAGCCAATGGTCATATCACATTTCAGACTATTATTGGCGGAAACTATGTTTTTCCAATACAAACTCCTGCAGAAATGTGTCTTGTAACACTACATTTAAAATATGTCTAATCCAAGAATTCATTATTCTATTTGTGCATCATGTTTCACAATATAGGGACTAAAAAAATTTTCTGGCGACTGTATTATGTAGTGTGATTTTCTTGCTCAAACTGAATATATGATCTGCTGTTTCTTCTTTATCTTTGCTCAATCTGCATTTTGAATCATTTGATGATTTTTCAGTTTTGGCCTTAATTGCATTCATTCAAATAGCTTGCTCTTGAGCAGTCAAAATTTAGCATTCAGTTGCTTTTTTAATGTTCCGGTGTAAACCATTGCCAGGATTTATCTTTATCAACTTTCTCCTTCATCTTTTGTAAAATTGACCATGGAATGTTTCTCCTTGCTGGTATTTTATTCTTGTTTGAGACACATTTCAATGTTCATGTTTGTTTCCTGTATATTTAGTAAATTACAATTTTTAACTTGCATCAATGCTTGTTCTTGGCCATCTTTTACATAATCAGCTAATGCAGGCTTTTCTTTGATAGTTCGTTTGATCTGAAATAAACTTCTGCCTCCATTTATGCAGGATGAGTGTGACTCATCAATATCATTACAGGAATGGTATACTTAGTGAATACTCATCAGTTTCTTGTTTTTTTCAGTCCAAACTGTCCAAATGAGCTTGTGGGTAGTTCATAATTCCAGTAGTGTGTGTCATATCACAGGTATGGCTCAGGAATTCATGGCTTTGATGGTGTTTCCACTGTTCAATTATATTTTTTACTAATCACATTTTAACTCGTCCATCCTTGATGTTATCCAACTGTAAAATGGCCAGATACTTGTAAGTTTCATCCTAATGGTTTGACCATTCAGCATTTAAATTCCATTACTGTTCATCATTTCATCCGGATTTATTGCTAAGCCAAATTCAATTGCTATATCAGTGTTAAATATTTGTCAATGACTGGATTTTGATTTCTTATTTTACATAAAGTTTCAGATCATTCATAACTGTGACCTAACCCTACTGTTCAAAAGTTCAGAATATTTTATGAATTTGTTTGCACCAACTGATGAATGGGAATGTTGGCTTTATTTGTCTGGATAGAAATCCACTTCCAAAATTGTTACTTAAACTATTTAAATTATAAGAAATAAGCATTACAAAGGAGATGAACCTATAGAACAGATACTACCTCAAAGAAGTCCTGCCATTGGACAGAATAAAATACGAGGAAAAGAAATTAAGAATATGAAACAAATTTAACCAAATAAATTTACTCAAAATTCATTGAGTGGGCCTGTGAAGGTCTAATGTCTCATGCTATTCTATTTAATTAAAAATCTGTGGATTAAAAATAATAATCAAAAAGCAAACTGCAATAAGCACTAGTTTTCAAAAAAATTAAAATAAATTATTCTGCTTAGCATTTATACTGCAGTGTAATAGCTTTAAATGTATTGACTGCAATGGTATCCCTGATTTATACTTAAATATATCCTTAATGCCACAATCCAGATTCCTGGGTTCTGTTTTGTTATCTATTCACCACTTTCAGCACCAGGAATAATTGAGACACATCAGATATGCTTGTCTGCTAAATATTTCATGCTGTTTGTTTTCCTGTTGTGTTTTCTTTCAAGATACAGTACACATATGCCACTCTGTCTAAACCTGTGGGGGGAACACCCAAACATTAAATAGATTTCTTGGCAAACCACCATAGAAAGATAAAGATAGAATATACTGCATGCGTCTCCTTCTTTGAATGGCAATTACACAAGGTATGAGATAAAATCAGAGAAAACTGTGGCAAGAAGTGATATCACAACAGGCATATTTCCAAGAATTTAAATAGAAGGAAAGTTAAGAGCATCACCATTTCCCAAATCATTTTCAGAACACTCTCTAACTCAAACAAACAACCAATTTCCTGGATAAATAAATAAATAATAAATAAATAAATCTGGATAAATACAGGTGATTCAACCTCATATTATACTGTGGTGCCTATAATATAAAATATTTATATTAGATCATTTGTAGTTATTTAAATGTATTGGAATCATTAAAAACAATACTGGAAAAGTGCCCTGTCTTTTGCATGTAGTGATAGAAAATATAAGATTTTGAGCACAATCTGGTTTAATTTATTTGGTTATTCAAATTGATCCAGAGAATTCTTTGTAGGAATTCATAACTATGCATTTAAATATGTTGTATTTGATTAATGTTGCTACTATGTGTTGATTTTTTCCTTGCTTCATTTCATACAGAAAACTAAGTTATGGAGATCTGTGTTCTTAAATAAATATGCAGATTGATTATAGATCATTTCTATTCTTTCTTAACATGGAAATACACACAAAAAAACAAACCCCTTAAAATAGCTGTTATAAAAACAGATTAAAGATCTCAGTTAAACTTTAGAATGTTTTATTTTATTGTTTTGATAGGTTAATCAAAACACATATTTTTTCAACAAAAGATGCTTTATTTGTAAGTGCATTAAAAGCAATTTAGAAATTAATTATACAACAATGTAAAAGCTTTACAACTAAATTATTAATATAAGCCTCACTAAATTTATTCTCATTCTTGAGGTTAAGTCTGAAAGTGGATAGTCATTTTTCTCCATATAATTTTCCACATAAAGGTAATATTTTATTGGATGATGGTGAACAGACAATATACAATAAAAAAGCATGTTAAATAATCTAAATAATTTTGCCTGGTTCTTTCTCTGTCTGTCTCTCTGTTTCTTTCTTTGCTAAACTGAAGTTAGAAGTATGTGGCCTATTGATGAATTTTCCTCTTATCATGCTTTTGATGAGTTACGGGCTGTTTGATTAGAACATTTTCTCTGCAAAGAGATTGGAGGGGAAAGCTAGTTTACAAATTCATTTTTTATTTCATAGAAAATATTCCCAGCTCAGTGGAGAGGGAGCTACAGAATTTTAGATTCCTTGCTTTATATTATTTTTAAATGTAGTAACAATGCCTTCTGAGAAAGTTATACACATAATTAAAAAATAAATTATAAATATTGTTTGGAGAAACAATATTGAAAATCAGAGTGATTATCACACCAAAATAAAACCATACAGTTTTAGAATAAGTTTTGGATCACGTTATTCTTTTTTCTTTCAGAAATAAGCAACAAAAATATCATAATGTACAGTATAATATCCTGTTTAAAATCTCAATTTCCCTACAAGGGATCATTATTTTAAAAAAATAAAAAGAATATCTTTGATTCTGGCAAATCCATCTCTTTGAACCTTGCTTTGTTTTGCTTTGGCCAAAAACCTATTTTATTGGCCCTTCTGGCCCAGGCTGTCATTTTTCCCTGCTGGAAGTTTGGCAAAAGTAAAAAACTGGCAGAGGACAACACTTTATATTTTTTAACTGAATATTTAAAACTTTTTTGTACGCCCATTATCCTTACTTTGTGCGCCAATTGTGACTAGTTGTTTCAATCGCATTCCCTTCTTTGGCAAATGCAAAGCATATATATATATATATATATATATATATTGATTGATTGATTGATTGATTGAACGGTCTGTTTCTAAGGTCAGCGAAAGATGGGGGCAGCAGTTTAATATTGCCTCTGACATCGACCTCTTTCCACATAGGGGGATGAGTGTAGGGATTGCCATAGCTAGTGCTAGAATACTTTCTTGGTCCAAGGTAGTAAATAGAACTGTGGCTCCAGATAAAACTTGTTAGAAATCCTGTACCTTAAAAAGAAATTGCCTGTGTAATTGGAAAATAAGACTCTCGACTGCTTTGGTTGTTGGAAAAGGCAAAGTAGAATATTCTTGTTGAACGTCTGTGAGCTTCGATTGATTTTCCATATTTTGATATGCTATTAAAATGATATATTTGACAGAAGGAAACAATCTTCCTGAAGAAGATCTTCCGGCACCAGATTAATGGCTGCTCACATAGCAGGACTGAGAACTATGGCTAAAATGTTTAGTACAAGGACTGAGAAATAGTAATTTATCTTTTCTAGCACAAAGAAATCTCACTGTATAATACTTTTTTAATTAACCTACTAATTCTACACATCTGTGCCTGTTCATCTTTTCTACAAGACCACCTCAATGTTCAAGACACTACCAGCACTATTTCCAATGATGTTCTTGCTACTATATTGGTTATGAATGGTACTAATGCAACCTAATTTGCCTACTCGCAAGGCTGCATTGTTAAACATTTCTGGGATTCCTTAACAAAGCTGAGGTCCAGCAAATCGAGAAGACACTGGTTGAGAATCCAATCTTATTAAGGAACAAAACAACAAAAACAATGAAACTGTTGCCTTATAATCAATGAAAACAAAGCCTAATTAAAATTAAAAGTTAACAGCTACACATTTTCGTCAACCACCATCTCATCAAAACCTGTATATATCTCCAATTTATCAAGACTTGAATTTCTTAACATTTCTATTAATTTTATAGTAGTCTTTATTTCACGTGGGAAGAAGCCTCTTTTAAATCACTTTTGCACCATGTCCTTCCATAGTTCTTTTCCACGTAGAAGCCATTTATGACAACTCTCCAGAACATAGTCCTGTCACTTTTCAAAGGAATATTCAGAAAGGTGTTGCTCTTTTCAGGGATAGGAAGGGGGAGCAATTGAATGCAATCATTAATATGAAAGACAGTTTATTCACACAGTTCAGTAGCTAATGCACCCTCCAGGTTTCTGGACTTGCCTACCTTGGCAGACAGACTCCGTGGTTTGCTGGAGAGGATCTCTGTAGCTTCCCTACAGTGGGTGGAAAGGTTCAGAATTGCAGCAGCTGCTGCTATGTGGGTGTCTTCACTACATTGACCGTAGCGATAAGAGCTGGCATGGCAAGGACTCTGTGTGTGGGCGCTAGCACTAGGCTGCCGATTAGAAAATTTCCCTGGATTTGAAAAATGCTTTGCTGTTGAAGAGAGATTTGATTAGAAGTAGTTCTATGCAACTGTCCTCCTATTAAAGGGACAAAGGCAATCAGTTCATACAGTAAAATAGACAAAGAATATATGAAATAAAAGCTACTCTTGACACAAAACTCAACGTTTTTTTTAAGTTTCAGAAATTAAAAGATTTAAAACATTAGACTGTGTTGTCATATCAATGTTCAGGTACTTCCAAATTCAGTAGAGGACAACATTATAAATCCATTTCCTAAAATATTCTCATGCCATGTGAAGGAAACTTTATAGAAGTTTGATTATGAGATACATGCCTGCCATCTAGCAAATTCTGAAGCCCTCCCCTATGGACATTCCTGCCTTTTGGTACAGTTTTGTCTCTTTAAAAAAGTTTAATTGATATTTTATATACGTTTAGCTTCAACTCAACATTTTATGCAGCATTAATTTTGGTTCTTGAATTAAATCTCTTGGGATGTATTATCATTTTCCTGCAAAAGTGCACATTCACTTAGAGTGCAATTGAGTTCCAGTTATTCAGTTTGAGTGTGCTGCCAGTTAAGTTCCTATATAATTGTACCTTTAACGGAGAATCTTAAAGTGGATATTTATAAGATGACAATTCACGTGGGGTACAACACAATATTGTGTCTATCTGTATGTCAAGAATCAACTGGATTTGCCAGTTAATAATACCCTAGAACATGAGTTTTCAAAATGTACATGACTCATAGTTTATCAGTATATTCTCCCAATCATGCACTGAAAATAATGTTGCCAAAGCATTGGATACTCTTAAGAACTATGTAGATAAACTCAAGGCAGAAGCATAATTAATTAGAGGTTCTGAACAATATTCTTCCCACTCTGATAGATTTAAAATAAGGTTTTAAATTTAGAGGACGTAAAATTTATACTTTGAGGATTATGTTCACCTTCTCTCTAGAGATAGCTAAAATTGCATTCATTTCAAAACAATCTCGTTTTTTTCTTGAACCACCTGAACTACAGATTTATTAAAGCAAGCTGCACTGAAGCTTCTTTAGCAAGGGGACTGAGCAAAGAGGTAAGGATAGATGGACAATTTAACCACCGAATTGTATAGGCAAATGCAAAAAGCAACCAATAAGCAACCAGTACATCAGATAAAGGAATTACAGGTGGATCACAATACAAACATCAGAGCAATCACTCTGACCTTATAAAAATGGCAAGGTCTTATTTTAACAGTGTAATTCTAGTAACTTAGATGTCACTAGCATTTCCGCAAGAGATCATCAGTTTTGTATAATTACACCTTTTTACATTAATCAATGGGCATTGCATACACGTTTGGGGTATGAGTCTTATCTAAATAATATATTGTTTGCTATCTGCAAGAGTTGTGATCATAAGAATGAGTATGTATGTATGTATGTATGTATTTAAGTAAGTATGTATGTATGTATGTGTGTATATACAGTGTGTATATGTGTGGGTGGGTGTTTGTGTGTACACATACACATGTGCATACCAAATATATATTAAAAGCATCAAGCACTGTTAATGTGTATGTACTGTAAGATATGCAAGCAAGATATGCAGAGGCCTCCATGATTTCTCAGAAGGAATTAGATATTTTTACCATAATGAAGCTTTTAACTGTGCTAGTTGCATGTTTTGCTTGGTATGTACACCCTGGGAGATAAAACACACAAAAAATACAGTTTAATTTTGTCAGTCCCTTACTTACATTCAAAGGATTGTGTGGGCTTTTGTCCTTGTATAGTTGGCATCATTGTGCATTTGCCAAAGACTTGGGCATCAAAACTAGCATAGTCAAAAGGTACTTTCCCATATTTCTCTTGGTCTCTTGTAAAAGTGGTTCTGGAGGAAGGGATTGCTTGGGAAGATCGGCAGCTGTACTGAGATAACTCAAAATGCTTCACCAAGTTTGCCCTTCATAATGAAGACATAAAATATCAGAATAATAACAATTATTATTAGATTCATTCCCCTACAGAGATACACCTAACAGACTAATTTGTTAGAGATACAGATTAGCACTAACTGTTTAGAACTAGTAAACACAAAATAGTAAGACATAAAAACTAATATTGTTCATATATTTTCTTAAAGGTCCTTTTTTACATATATAAAGATGTGCAGATTTCAACTCCTAGTATTCCCCAGCCAGCGTGCTTAAAACTGCCAAGCTTGAGAAACATTAGTCTACAGCAGAGGTCTTCAAACTTGGCAGCTTTAAGACTTGTGGACTTCAACTCCCAGAATTCTGGGAGTTGAAGTCCACAAGTCTTAAAGCTGCCAAGTTTGAAGACCTCTGGTCTACAGAATTATCTTTCTCACCATAAAACTCCTCACAGCTGAGGCAGACAAATTTAGTGGATTTTGGGTTTAGGCATGCCTGATACCAGCTTTGACTGATTCATCTGTTATGTCTTTTCCTAAATACAGTGCTCCACATCTACCCTTGTTTGGTGTTTCTCTGAGAAATTAGAAGGATAGAGTTGAGTTGAATTTATTCCTCCCCTCTTAGGCCTCATGAATGCATACAGTATTGGTCAGTTCTTGTCCATGACCAAACAGTAGTTACATTGTGAACCAACCTGGCATTTACCAGATACCTAAAAGAAAGACCTCAGGAAATTTCAAAGTTTCTTTTGAATTTGTTTTTAGTGTTGGTGATGGCAACTCTAGCACTGCCAGCATCGGGGAGTTTTTTTTTCTACACACCATCTATCATTCTGAATCCTTCATAACTGTCCATATGTGTGGCCTGTCGGCCACCTGCCCCTCCAGCAGCCCAATTAGAGGAGGAGGAGGAGGAGGCGTGGGAGTCAGGGTCAGCCACAAGGCAACACGAAAGCTCTGAGAGAAGAGGGAATGGAGCTGGCAGAGAGATAGAGACTGAGGTGGAGCCTGGGCTATCCATCAACCCTCAGATGGAGAGCCCCCAGGTCTGGAGATTGGTGATGAAGGAGAAGAGGAACAGCTTGGTCCAGTGCCTGATGCGTGAAGGGGAGAGCAGTGGAAAGTCATGGGCTGATCCTGGGGAAGGAAGACCCACTGCTGTGAATGAGGCCTCACCCTAGCTCTGGAGATAAAAGGCAAGGGGCGGAGATGAATAGATGTGGCAGACAACCGTGTGGATGGACTTGTTAGCCTGCGAGATAAACTTTTTGCCAGGGCTGCCAGCATTCATAATAAAGGAATCTTTTGAGTTCACGTCAGAGGGTTTGACGGGTTTGGGGAGCTGGGTCAGAACACCATACTTCTGGAAAAGACCAGTCCCTTTTCTAGAAAGGAATAGCCTGGTAATTGCTGTCCAAGGGTAGGTAACCTCACATTTGGATTTCTGAAATAAACTGTATGTGGGACTTCTTTGTTTCTGTCCTGGAAGATGCAGATGAGTGGCTAGTCTTCTGGATGGGCTCCTAGCCATACTTATAGTATTCATATGCTGAAGCTACAGTGCTGGCTACCCATTAGCTACCATGCCAATTAGTACTGGCTTATAATGCCCTGAGTTACAACAGATGGCATCTCCTAAATGACCTTGGCTGATTTTGAAAAAGCTAAGCAGGGTAGCTTTGTATTTGAATGGAAGATCACCACAAAAGCACAGGGTTATGGACTAATCTGAGATGTCATATGTAGCATTCTGGAAGAAAGGTATGGCAAGATATGGATGTGGATGTGAACTCAACTGCAGGGAGACTTTACTTCTTTATAAAGCTCAGAACAACTTGGAATCATAATCACAATGTGCCTATCTTTGCTTCAATAGGTAAAGGTAAAGGTTCCCCTCGCACATATGTGCTAGTTGTTCCTGACTCTAGGGACAGTGCTCATCTCCGTTTCAAAGCCAAAGAGCCAGTGCTGTCCGAAGACATCATCGCGGTCATGTGGCCTACATGACTAAATACCTTCCCACCAAAGATGGTCCCTATTTTTCTACTTGCATTTTTTACGTGCTTTCGAACTGCTAGGTTGGCAGAAGCTGGGACAAGTAACGGGAGCTCACCCCATTACGTGGCACTAGGGATTCGAATCTCTGAATTGCTGACCTTTCAATCGACAAGCTCAGTGTCTTAGCCACTGAGCCACCGCTTTAATAAATCTTAATAAATTTAATAAATCACCACTTTAATAAATCTGTACAATTGTTATAATCCTCTTGAGAGGTCTTACTGCTGATTTCAACTGGGAATTGTCATCTTCCAGACATTCCAGTCTTTAGCAATAGCAAATATTCTTTGGAAGGGCTTTCCTTTGAAATTAGAGGTTGCCGCCTCTGTGTAAGTCTAGGTCTTCCCTGTGTAAACAGTAGAGTGGGTTTTTTTTCTCCCTTTATACATTTTAATGTATCATATATTTTTATTATCCTTTTTTGTAATAAAATAAGAATTTTAAATATTGTATATCCTTAATGCCACAATCCAGATTCCTGGTTCTGGATTCAGCATATAAATAGGTTAGTGAATATGAGCTAATAATAAAAAAATAATGAATTTGAGTTAATACATGTAGTCTTCCATTTACAACAGTTCATTTAGTGACCATTCAAAGTTATAACACCATTGAAAACGTGACTTACGACCATTTTTCACACTTATAACCTTTGCAGCATCCCCATGGTCACCTGATTTTCATTTGGATGCTTGACAGCTGGTTCATATTTATGACGATTGCAATATCCTGCAGTCATGTGGCCATCTTTTGCAATCTTCTGACAAGCAAATGCAATGGGGAAGCCAGATTCACTTAACAACCGTGTTATTAATTTAACAATTGCAGTGATTCACTTAACAAATGTGGCAAGAAAAAGTCGTAAAATGGGGTAAAACTCACTTAACAAATTTCTCACTTAGCAACATAAATTGTAGGCTCAATTGTGGTTGTAAGTCGAGGACTGCCTGTAATGAATAGATTTATAAATGAAATGATAACAAAGTCTCAATTTCCCTACAGAATAACCATGGTCAATTGGTGGGTTGTGGTGATCTTTCAGGTGAGAAGACATGATGAATGTTATTGCAAACATTGCAAACATGTGGTGGCGCATATGTTTGCAATCCAGTTAGAATGCAGTATTGCAGGCTCTGCCGACTGCCAGCAGTTCGATCCTGACCAGCTCAAGGTTGAGTCAGCCTTCCATCCTTCTGAGGTCGGTAAAATGAGGACCCAGATTGCTGGGGCAATATGCTGACTCTATAAACCGCTTAGAGAGGGTAAAGCACTATGAAGTGGTATATAAGTCTAAGTGCTATGGCTATTATGATGCTTAGATCAGCCAAATTGCCCTTGAATTTCAGTAGCAAAATCCTCAGGGGATTGGGGATGCATTAGGACTTTATATTGTTTATTTCTGTAATAATGAACGATGACGTCTCATCTGCACCTTTTACATGACATTTTATAATGTATTAACTTAATATCTGTGAATTTTTACCTGCACTACCAATTCAAAATATTTCAAAACATTACAAGCTATAGCATGAATATAACACGAGTTATAAATGTCTTTTTCCAGAATGCATTTACTATAAATATAATTCAAAACTTTTACCTGTGGATCTGATCATGGCACTGCCCTGTTTTGAGTGATTCGTGTTGACCTTTTTCCTGAGACATTGCCATTTTCTCAGCTGCAGCAATTGGACATCCAGAAAGACTATTGAAAAGATTGTCAAAAGTAATTGTTAACAATTTATACTCAGAGATATTAGGATTTCTAATATGTACTTTGCATCAAAAATAAAATATTATTCAGCTTGTTGCTCTTTTTATTCTGCTTATCATGTTAATTGCTATTACAGCTTTTAAAATCTAACTATATCTTCTTTTCACTGTTATCTCAAGCTATTATGCTTGCTAGAACTTCCTCTCCTATACTGATGATTTGATTCAGCTAAGTTCCCATGCCCATTGGAGGCTACTAGGATAGCCTCCTACATACTAGGAGGCTATCCCTTCTTTCCACCTGAATGTTGCTAACACAATTATTTCATTACTTCTATAACATCATTATCTCTTTAGACTTGTAAGTCCTTTGACCTCTCTAGTAGCAAAGTTGACCATGAACATTTTGTGATATAATACTTGTTTCTTTCTTCCTCTGGGAAATTAGCCAAGTAAACTTTATCAATGATTTTAATGTGGTAAATTAAACTATGATCTATCATAAATGGATCATAAGTTCTTAGAAGAGTAAATCAGTACACCAAAGTATATCAAGTTTGAATGTAATCAGACATTTTCACTATGTAGAATTGATCACTTGATTAGTCTTTATGGTTCTTTGTAAGTCATTTTAAATTCTTTATGGTTTTAGATGTTTTAATATCCAGTTTACACTTAGTATTTCATATGAAAAGAAGATGCCACATTCCTGTATAAAGTATATATATATGCAGTAAGTACATAATTGAAAGCAAAAAGATGGGGAGGGCATACATTATCTGAGATTGGGTAGCATGTATTTATATTGGCATCCTGGCTTTCTTAAGCAGAACTGCCAATAGATTATGATTTAGAAATAAATGTATTTGATTCAATTCTAACATTTCTTAGTACTGTAAAAATGAAATAACATAATTTCTCCAATTATGTACTCATCTTTTTTATTGCTTTCAACAGGAGGATTAATTATATGTGTCATATGTTTTCTTGTAGGAGTTAAAAAGTTATGTTGATAGTCCTTCGTTATCTACAATACTTGGGCCAGGAACTCCTTACTAAGTGAGGCGGTTGTAAAGGGTCATCATGTGACTGTGTGGATTTATGATGACAGTTACAACAGCCCCCATTTCAGATTTTAGGAAAATCCCACACAGTTGTCAGGTGCAATGTTGCATGATCTCCATTTGTGATCTCCTGATAGCTTTCCCATGAATTTTCTTGTCAGTAGCCAGCAGTGAAGGTCTCAAATGGCAATTATATGACTGCAGGACAGTGTGATCATTATAATTATGAGTTGCCAAGTGCCCAACTCCTAATCACATGACTGTGGGGATGCTGCAATAGACATAACTTCAAGGACCTGCCATAAGTATCCTTGTTCAGTGTCACAATAACTTCAAATAGTTGCTGAACAAATGGTCATTAACTGAGGATTACCTACATTGTTGCTTTATATGAAACAACACATATTTTAAAAAACCATACCCTTCTTGAAGATACTAGATTATCACCAATGGAAGACCATTGAATTACCTTCTGTGAGTGTTGCGGTTGCTATTGACATGTCCTCTTCCTGTACATCCAGGAGTGGGGCACTTTAAAACGTTTTCATGCATGGCAAGGACTAAATAAAAAGAAAAAAACAAACAAACAAAAAATCCTGAAATCCATGCTAATTTTACAGAATAGTTCAAAGTTGGCAATTAATTGGAGATTTACACCCTTAAATTTATACTAGTGAAGTTTCAACCCCCAAAAATATCAAGACCAGTCACAGCTGCAAAATGGGTAGCTATATAAGGTGATTAAATGAATGAATTAATAGATGAATATACATAAATAAAAAAGAAACCATCTCACACATTATGTAATTCACAATAAGCAGAGAATTTAAGAGTTTGAGTCACCATATAATCTCCCAAGATAACAAACCTGACATTTGTTAAATAGTTGCCCATCTTTTTTAGAGAATAGAAATTTGTGTCCACTCTTGAAAAGCCCTCATCATCTGAGTGTTCCTATATCTGAGATTTGATGACAGATAGATAGATAGATATAGATATAGATAAATTGATTGATAAGTATCTATCAATAGAGATATATAGATATATCATGTCTGTCTGTCTGTCTATCTGTCTGTCTACAGTATCTATCTATCTATCTATCTATCTATCTATCTATCTATCTATCTATCGATTTATCGATCTATCGATCTATCTATCTATTGAATTTAACACAGTTAAACTCAAATGGGCATTGGAAGGTAGAAGGTTGTTTTACTGGCAAACTGACTTCCAAGCTGTGAAATAATATCTGCATTATCCTCTCAAACTGTATAAGCTACTAAACTATTTTTGTTCATTTCGTCCGCTTGTATTTCATAATTTACTTCAGTAATTCTTGATAAAATAAAATGATCCAAAGTTTCAAAGATATAATTAAGGCACTTTGTAAACAGCTATGGGAAATATAACCAAAATAAATTTTTCCTAGCATTAAGTTCCAATCATTGCAAAGCAATTTTACTTCTATAAATATCACCACATTTATCACCAAATTCAATATTAACTCCATAGGATTACACTTAAATTTAAGTAGATAAATTTGGGGTATAGGTTAATTTTGGATCAGGTTATCTGTTGCTGGTCATAGAAAAGAAGAGGATAGTAATGACAAGTATAATAGATATCCAGGAGGACCCAATCTGAGTTGGTCGAAACCAAAGGTTTTGTCTTCTGAGCATTCCAACTTGTGCTGGAGCCCATTCTTATACTCTGTTTACTTTTGGCTGTTCTGTGTGTGGTAGTTCTCTGAGAATGGGCTCTAGCATGACTCCAAAAACTCAGAAGACAAAACTTCTGGTCCCGGTGATTAACCCAGATTGGATCCTGAAACATTATCCTGGGACACATATAGTCACCTTCATTCATAATAGATATCCCTTTAATTAGAAGGCTATTACTAGCCTCAATCTTTGTTTAAATTCACAGAACAGCACAGCTGTGCCATTTAAAAGCTCTGAAGGCCAATGGAATATTTTCTGAATCATCATACAGTCTTGAAGAAACCACAAGTCACCAGCTCTGTGCCACATAATTGCTTCTCTGACTGTCACCCAGTGGAATTGTCTTCATATATTCAGGGAAATGAAAACACCAAAGGCAGCATACCTACCATTCCAAGGCATAGTGCCTATTCATATCAGTAGAAAGGGATTGTATAAATTTAATAAATAATGCTCTTCCTGAAGCTTATTTCTGCTTTCAACAACAAGTTGGAATTAAATTATCCCCCTTGCAAGATTGCTTGGGAATTTTCTTCTTCTGTTCTGTTAGACCAATCATGAAATATGTAAAAAAAAAAAAAATCCTACAGGAAATAACAAATTTGTGATCTTCTCCATAAGTGTAACACACCTATTTTATATTTTTAAGGAGTCACAAATAAATAGCCAAATATATATTCCTTTCCCTCAGGAGGCGCCAAGCACATTATTTTCATAGTCTATCAGTGTAGCAATTATTTTTAGCACAATGAGAGGCCATAAAAATCAATCTGCCGAGAGAGGCAAAGGGCTTAGGGTTATAAAGGTATTCCCTGGGTATATATTCTTCAATAAATCATAGGGAATTTTATTTTGACCAAGAGCACAAGGCAGTATTTTCATTTCAAATGCCCACTTATGTTTATTTCTTAGAGTGATTGCAAAGTAGAAGTTCAATTCACTTACATCCTAATAGGTGTGTGTGAGTGTATCTGTGTATACACAGATACAAGACCTGATTGGTTTTTTGCATTTGAGAAGCAAAATAGCATCCAATTTAATCTTTATTTTCAGTATGAAAATTTGATTTTAAGTCCCAAATGTGGGTGCTTAAACTGCTTTGCTTAAGCAACAGAAATTTTAGTTCAGTTGACTATCTGTACCTGTACTGAACTAGGATGCTTGCTTATTATTGTAATAAATTCATACATCATAAGATAGTAATACGATCTTAAATACAATTAATTTTAAAATACCCCAAACTTTTGTAGGCCCTAGGCATTGTGCCTAATGGATAATAAGATGGTGCTTTGCCCATCCTTTGATTTAACTTGGTATGACTTGAACTTATTGTTCTGATTTGTCTAATCTTCTTGAATTATAAATACAGTTATGAAGGTAAAGTAATCCTGACGATAGCGAAGGTGTTCATACAAAACAGGAGGGGACCAACATTGAGGATTTGTGGCAGCAAGGAACCTCCAGCCTCCATTCCCCAAGTCAAATAAAAAATATGAATAAACTTGGCATTGTGTCAGTTTACAAATCTAGGTGTCCATGTTATAACCTACATTGTGTGTTCCCTTGCCCTTCTCTTTTTGTCTCAAATGGTACAGTTGGAGGGCTGTTTTCTTACCACCAATACTTATTGCTCACTTCAAAGAGGAAGAAAAATATATATATATATATTTAAAAAAGAGGTTACTTGCAAGCGACGGGAAGAAGATCACAATAGGTAAGTAGTTTTATAATGTAAAATGTCAAATACAAATATGAGGAAAATGCACCAAATGTTAAAGCTTTATCAAATTGTAGTGTTTGCTGCTGTTGAAAGATGTTCATTCGTGTTTGTTCCTTTTGGTTTAACTTTTAAAGGCTAAGCAGGTTCAGACCTGGTTAGTGTTGGTAACCAGGTCTGATACCTAGAAATATCAAAGCTATGTGAGTGCCTGGGAAGTTGAAAAATCATCAAAAAGTCATCAATGTCAAACCATTTCTGTATGGATACCAAGAGGTCTCCGCATCCATTTCCAGCTTGACTCAAAGAAGGCTTGACTTTATGTATTTATTTGTAAAATCTTGACACTCATTTACTTAATCTAGGAGTCTGGGTACTTGAAATAGAATACTCTGGTAAACACTATGAGATACCTAGAAGTTGAGGGATACTTACCCAATAAAGTTTCATAGTGCTGAGCTTTTGTTCTGGAGTTTTACCCATGCAGTATTACCCAGCAGTGGTAGGGTGAAGTAGATATAAGATTATCATTTAGTTATGATGGCATGGTTTTTATCTGATCTGGTCCCTTAGCCAGGCTGGTTTTGCTCAGCAATGGACTGTATTCAGCTTAAGCAACACCCTTCTGGATCTGAGATTTTTCTGGAATATTAATTTCAGGTGCTTTAGTGACTTTTCATCCCATAAATAATAGTGTATCTTCATCACTGAAATGGACATGAAATTATACCACTGTTATAATGCAGATCCTTGCTCTTGGTTAATACAGTTATGACCCTTATAAAAGGCTATGCCTTGTGTCATCATGCCAGTGGTGTGACATAGAGTTTTCTGCATTGAAGACTTTCTACTTACTTTCAAGTGGCACTCTGACTTTATGTGGACAGCCCGAAAGACTGCGATGATGAGGATACAATCCAGTCACGTGACCTGTTCCATCACACCCTGGAATGGGACATTTGGTCTCTCTTTTTTCAGGCCTGGGTACATCTGTAAAAAAAAAAAACAGAATGGAACACTGGAATGGCTGGAACACTGTAAATTATATATTAGGTTCATATATATGTAGGTCTTTGGTTATTTGGGTTTTCTCCCGCATAAAATTGGAAGTGTCTTGGCGACGTTTCGATGAAGTCTCATTCATCATCTGCAGGCTGTTTTCGGCTTCGTGCTTCTAGGAGCAATGTGTGATCGCAGCTGTTTCTTCCTTTTAACTGCCAGTGGGGGTGTGAACTGATTGGGTGGGAGCTTGGCTGTGTTCTGATTGGGTGAACCCCCAACCAATCAGAACACACTCCACCCAATCAGAACACAGCCAAGCTCCCACCCAATCAGTTCACACCCCCACTGGCAGTTAAAAGGAAGAAACAGCTGCGATCACACATTGCTCCTAGAAGCACGAAGCCGAAAACACCAGCCTGAAGATGACGAATGAGACTTCGTCAAAACGTCACCAAGACACTTCCAATTTTACACGGGAGAAAACCCAAATAACCAAAGACCTACATACAAACACCTGTGAAAACCTCAGAATATGTATGTATGTATGTATGTATGTATGTATGTATGTATGTATTCAAGTTTGCATATATATATATATATGCAAGTTTTGGTGTATTCGGGTCTTTTCCATTGATACTCCATTGAGAGTATCTTGGTGATGTTTCGACGAGGTCTCACTCGTCATCTTCAGGCTGGTGTCTTCGGCTTTCCTCGCACAAGCACGAAGCCGAAGACACCAGCCTGAAGATGACGAGTGAGACCTCATCGAAACGTTGCCAAGATACTCTCAATCTTACACAGGAAAAGACCCAAATACTACCCGTGAAAATCTACGAAAACACACATATATATATATATATTACGCTGAGCACTTTTAAGTATTAGGATAGAAAGCAATTTTCTTTCAAGGTGTTAATAAATCCTGAAATGCTAGACAACATTTAACATCCTACTTTAAATAATGACTTGTTATTTTTGCACTAAGACATATGGCATTAGAATTTGCAATGACATTTGCGTCATGTGCCAAAAATTTGGAACTATCTATGAGTGGAAAAATAACTAGCTAAACAACTAGCTATCAGGCTTTAGAAAAGTTGGATTGCTGTGAACAAATCATACATTCCTCCCAAAATATAGAACCCTAACAATGTCTTAGAACCTTACGTTGAATTTTTTTTATATCAAGATGCTTTAATAAGGAATTTATACAAGGAATTGTATGAAATCAATATACCAGCATGGCTAAAAGTGCAGGATTTGTTGACAAGCTAAAGCTATAATTATATAATATTTCATTCGTATTAGATGTGAAGCTCCTGTTTATGCAACAAAAGGAAGCATGCAAAATATGCTAATCTCTCCATTAAACACTATAAAAAGTTCTGTTTCCCTTATATATTGCATTTATTTATTCTAATATAAATGGACCTTTCTTGCTTTTGAGAAAGGATAAATATAATGATCATATAAACATTTGAATTTTGAAACTATGTAATAGAATGATAAAGTTTAAAATTATTTGTTATTCTTGCTATACAAATACATGATTTTAATATATATTTAAGATATACAGAACATTTCACTTCTCTCTCTGAAAAAGGGACACAGAAAACTGAAATAATATTATTGTTTGACTTTTTTCATCTTTGCAGGCATATTAAAAGCAAAATTGTCTGGATGTATCTGCCCCATCCTTGGATATAACTTTTAAAATCTTAAATACGTATGTATTTTTCTTCAAAATAAGGAAATGCCATTGAATTAAATACAAATAATTTTCAAGAGTCATCTCTCCATCTTCAATAAAATGGCAGACTGAAATCAAATAAGAGTTCTTCTACAGATATATATCATTAAAAGAACTGGATCCATTAAGTAGGTATAGTTTGATCAGTTCATCAAAATGAAACAACTTACAGTATCTTCTATATTAGCCAATTGCATTTTTTTGGCACATACACATTTTAATGTCTTTAACTGCCTCCACCACCACCAAGTGATCTGCTTGCTCCATAATATTTTCAAATTACAGTGGTAAGTGAGAGATTGGCCAAGCCAGAGGGAGGAGTCAAACAGGGAATTAGCCTGAAATCCCTATGGAGTCACAAGACAATTTGACTCCATCCCGCCCTTGAATATCACTGAACTTTATCTAATATCACTCACATGCAAACTGTTAGTCTGAGAATATTCCTGTGTATAGGCTTGAACAATAAAACAACTAACTGAATTCTTCATGTGTGAATCTGGATATTTGTGTCTAACAGTAAGGCAAATAGTTTGCTGATACATGTACTTATAACTGGAATAATCAGTAAGCATACAATTATGGCTTCCTGTCTTTTTTCCATGCAGTTAATTTAATAGCTCTTATTCAAGTTTTCTCCATAATGTGCCCTTCATATCATCTTACTAAAGAAACCCATGGCTTCTCTGAAGAATTCCATCTCTGGTACTTCTCCAATCAAAATTAAATGGCTCCAGTGAAGAGATGTCAGCCTTTTCAGGTAGATCCGACAGGAAACATGAGTAGATGAACTAATTCTACTTTATTGAAAGGCTATATTAAAAGAATCTTGCAACTTTGATAGTACAAATCTCCCATCATCTCCTTTATAGGTTGAGAAGTTAGGGAGGGTCCCTCCTGAGCCTCTTTCTTTTTCATTATGCAGCTGTAGACTATGTCCTGTCTTATGTGACTATTCCCTAGACACCATCTTTTTGCCCATTCTCAAGGTCTTTCTCATATACCATTTCAAGAGGCTCCATCTCAAAATGGTGAATGTTACCAGGTATCACATTCCCAACATCTTTGTCTTTTTCATACTACCATTGTGGGTCTTTGGTTTTACGGACATTTCTTGTAATGATACATTTCTATGTTCCAGTAATATATGATAAATCTTTGTTGATTTGATGGAATGCTTAAATGATGCCATTTCAGGCACTGTATGACATTTCTGAGATCCTAAATACATAGATTGCTTAGATCAATGAATGTGGATTCTCTATCTCATGTTCTGAGTAAACAAAACCTATGCTATTGTCACAAGAAAACATGACAATAGACTTGGAAGGTATCACTTAGCAGGGATAAAGAGAATGTAACAACTCCATATTTCTACAATAGATAAAAGCCAGTCAGGCTGATGAGAGTTTGCAAAGAAACTATTCTTTAATATAGCAGGCATATCTTGGAACCCATACATTGTATAGTCTTCTTTAGTATAATAGTTTCAGCTAGAATATAATTTAATAGATACAATATACAATACAATTCAAAGTAAAATTACATTCATTCATTTACATGGGATTATTTTCTCCTAAAGATCTTCCATTGCTCAAACAATTTAACATCATAAAACTTACCTATTGATAAATTTGGCAGTAAAATTCACAGCTAAAAACACTTTGAAATCCATCATATATCTGTGAATGATTTAGCGTTTACTAGAAACTTATCATTTGACAAAGCCAGTAAAATATGCAACGATATATATTATATACAGATATGATTTAGTTTTTACATACTGTATCTATATGGTATGGTAAATGATTTTATTGTTTAAAATCTAAGTTGGGACCAGAAATACACATCTACAGAAGTGTTTTCTCTACTGCATAGTACACTGTTCTTTATCACTGGGGAATCCAAAGAGCCTTGTTGCACTTCCAACTGAATCAAAGGCAGGTAGTCCTTGACTTACAACCATTCATTTAGTGACTGTTTGAAGTTACAGCAACACTGAAAAAAGTGACTTATGACTGTTTTTCACCATTGTAGCATCCCCATGGTCATGTGATCAAAATTCAGATGCCTGGAAACCGGTTCATATTTATGATGGATGCAGTGTCCTGGGGTCATGTGATCAACTTTTGTGACCTTCTGATAAGCAAAGTCAATGAAGAAGCCAGGTGTACTTAACAATTGTGATACTAACTTAACAACTACAATGATTTACTTAAGAACGGTGGCAAGAAAGGCTATAAAATGAACCGGAACTCACTTGACAACTCCCTTGCTTAGTAATGGAAATTTGAGGCTCAATTGTGGTGATACATCGAGGATTACCTGTAGTATTGTGGAAGTAAAGAAAGTGACCTCTTCCTGTTCTCCCCATTACCTGAATCATTACACAACAATTGGAAGAAGAGGACTACTGCACCATTGCAAACAAATGATGTGAATGTAGTCCACTAACTGTTGGCATGATAAGTTGAAATCTTTCACATATAGAAGTCATGTATAAATTGTATAATAGCCATCCAAGCAGTACTTTTCAACACAGGGGGCAGGGAAAGGGCAAGGAAAGGAAATTATATATATATAATTGTTGTTCTTCAGCCCTAGGCTCATCCTCGGTGAGCCATGCCTTAAGAGGCAGAAATAGCTATCTGAGTCTCCCAGAAAGCAACACAGAGCTGCAGTTTGATATATATATATATATATGCAGTCATGTTGTTGAAGCCTTGCAAAAAAAACTCCCATTCACTGGTATCATTTTTGTAATAGCCATGAGGAAATTCCTTATCAAAACTTTTATATCATATTAAACATGAGTGAAAAACCCAATGGAGTACTCAAAAGCCAATGTACTAGCTAAAATTCAAAACAGTGCTACTCTGGAATCAGGGATGAGGACCAGGATTTAACAACTATTTAACTGAATGTGTAATTTACTGTGAACAAAGAAAGTGGACTTACGCTTGTGGTTATAGACTGGTCTACCACCAAGGTCAACTATTTTGGCTTGTCTTCTTTCACTTGCAAGATGCTCCAGTAGGAACCTATCCAGTTCTTTGTAAGTGCTATGAAAGACGTGACCCTGCTCTGCCTGAAGAGCGATAGCTTGTTCCAACAAATTTAAGTTCTGTTTTGTTTTATCCAAGTCAAATGACTGTTCTGTATTTTCTGATAGACAATCATCTTCTTCACAATCTGGAAATGGATTCTGCATTCTATTGCTGCAAGTGTCAACATGCGAGTCCTGTGATTCTTGCAGTTCTGATCTCAAACTACTAAAAGTTTCAGAATTGTTAACATCTTTTTCTTCAGCTTTGACACCAGGTGTTTTTAGGACCTCTTCCTGATTACATCCTACAAGATACGCTTTATTTAAAGGCAGTTTTATACTTATCTCTTCAGAAAAATTTGAGGAACTATCCCATTCATTGTCCAGAATTTCAGAGCTACTTTCGTTATCTTCTGAGGAACAGTATTGTGAATGTGGAACACTAATTCTGTCCCTTACAGAAGAATTAATTCCATAACATGCAGCAATGTTCTTATTTTCTGCTTTTAAGAGTTGGTTGTCACTATCACTTAGTTTATCATTCTCTAGGGAATTTGGTGCATCTTTTGCTATTTTTTCAAAATTAATTAATGTATTGGTCATTGTGTCCTGGCAGTTAGTGAAATTGTCCTTTTGAAGATCATTTTCTTGCATGTTGAAATATGAAATACTTTTTGCTGACATTAAAGTGGTGTTTTCTAGATAGAGAGAAACAGAGAAGACAAAGTTAGAGTACTTCTATTTTAGCCACAACAAATCTGTTAACTATAAATTAATCTACCTATGTCAATGAGATCCTGGGGAAATGCTGCCTGTGTGGTTGTTAAGAACTGGCAAAAACTTGATGGCACAAAACCAATCGATCAATGTCATTGAGAACACTCCAGGGTCAAACATTCTTAAAAAACTTTTTAAGGTTTCTTTCTTGATTTATATGAAATCATATTGTGCAAAACATTCCTTTAAAGAAATAAATGGAAAGTACACTAAATAACCAAACTATTATGTGAATCCATGATAAAATTATATAATTTTATATATAATCCCGAAATATAAAACAATTATAATAATGTGAAGTGTGACTTGTATTGTGATCACCACTTCATATGTCGAGGCAGGCAGACAGATATATCTGTATCTCTTCTTAATTTAAAGATTATCAGAAAGAGACTTGCTTTGTATGCAACACTATGTAAAATTATGTACACTATTTTGTACCTGGCTTAATGAATTAATGGAAAGACAATCCATAGATACAGAGTAAAGCTAGGGGCAACTTCATCATTGACTTCAAAAGAAATCAGTGAATTACTGTGTGCTAAATTAGTTACTATTAATGTGAACATGGATACACTGAGCAGTGGGAAAAGTGCCTCTTCTTACTTACAGGTGTATTTAATTTTTGCTTTGAAGCAATAGAGCTTGCAAAAACACAAATATAATACAGAAACTGGCAGCCGAGACTTTTCTCGTGTTGATGAAAACATTTTTTTTATGACTCTTCTTTGACAATGTTAATTTTTTCTCATTGCTTATATTTTCAATCAATTATATTATTAAAAGGTGATGTATTGGATTTCTTAAAGTATTTCAACATACACATGTCCTATATTGAGAAGTACTTTTTCTTTGAGATTACATGACAAAACAATTGGTAGCAGCTACAAGGAAAAGAATCTCAAATGCCAAAAGACAATAAATCCTTTGTGTTTCATTTACTTTTTTTTTTCTAAACATTTTTGTTTTCCTCTTACAAGGACACTCCAAAATACATCTCCATCATCTTCCTTTCTGGTAATTATCTCCCTAAAATCAACACTGGTCTGCCAGGATCAAGTAAATATTACCATAGTAACTAAAAGCATTTTTGGATGAAGGGAAGAATTTAGCCATAACACTAGCCCCTTCAATAATGCTGATTATAGGGTGTATTCTTTTGTTGGGATGCATTCAACATAAACTGGAACGTTTTGCACTTTACTTCCTAGAAGAGAAAAAAATGAGATAAACAAGTGCATAATAAAAAAATAAGACAGTCTGGTTCTTTGCGGAATCCATGTCAAACCAACTCTGGGTTTAAATATTAACTTAAATATCATCCAGAAATGCAAATCAAGTTTTGTCTCAGCAACAGTAAGCTATTAAGAGAAAGTATAAAGGGTTATCATAATTTCAAAGTATTATCAACTACCGAAAACAAATAAAAAGCATTTTCGGTGAATATGTCCAATTCATTGAACTATTCTCTCAAGCCACTTAACTACCCACATGTGTACAATAATGATTTATAGACATTATACCTAATTATGCATATTTGGGCTATGGTGGAGTGCCTAACAAAAGCTCTAGAAAGCAACAATTACCTCTGTTGCTTAGCTACATAGTTTAAAATATTCCTATTAAGTGCAGATTATTGTGGAAGGGGGGAGGAGGATAGAAGTGCACATGTGCCTCTACAATGCGTTTCACTTTATAGCTGCCAAACTGTTAGCGTTTTGGGTCATTTCCAGTTTACATAATTGTTTGGTTCAACTGTTTGTTATACATTAAAAGAAAAATATTTATTAATTGTTTCTTACACATTTTCTTCCAGAAACTGGGCCCCAATACCAAAGGATGGAGCCCTTTTTGAACTACTTGTCAGGCATTTGTTGTTGCTGTTGCTGTTATTGCCTGACCTGAAAACTCTCAACACAACTTTATTTGTAGATGTTCTTCTTTAAGGGCATAGAAGGAAACAATCAAGAACGGCAGGCAAGGTAACAAAAATCCAAATACTTATTAATAGTTGTTCTAATCAAGGACGCGGTGACTCAGTGGCTAAGACACTGAGCTTGTCAATCAGAAAGGTCGGCAGTTCAGCGGTTCGAATCCCTAGCACCGCATAACGGAGTGAGCTCCCATTACTTGGCCCAGCTTCTGCCAACCTAGCAGTTCAAAAGCACGTAAAAAATGCAAGTAGAAAAACAGGAACCACTTTTGGTGGGAAGGTAAGAGCATTCCGTGCGTGTTTGGCATTTATTCATGCCAGCCACATGACCACAGAATTGTCATCAGACAGTGCTGGCTCTTCGGCTTAGAAACAGAGATGAGCACCCCTCCCCTCTAGAGTTGGGAAAGACTAGCATGTATGTGCGAGGGGAACCTTTACCTTTACCTTTAATCAAGGACAGACAGTCTGAGTAAAGTTCATATTTTCTCCCCTTTTCTCCATTTAAATTAAATGATAATAAATAGAGGAAAGTGGTAAGTAGACAGAAAACACTTATTGAATGTTTTACGTTTTTATAACAAAAAATTCCCCAACAGCCAATCTATCATTCAAGAGTCAATAGTACCGATATGTCCTATAGAGCTATTTTCCTTGTAGATAGATGCGTGAATTGCAGTTTCTGACATATGAAATCAGTTTGAGGTTATTCAGAAGAGATCATTACTATCCTAACAGCTATTCAAAAATAGAAAATAGGGCATGATTTATTCTAGCAATACACTCCTCTTCCCCCATAGAAGAATGTATGTGATTATTAATCATATATAAGTACATATAATTATCACAATAATAACTGTGGGGCTGAAACAACATGAAACTTGCTGGATATCAATATGATATGTCCCTTGGTCTATAAATGTCCATTAAATTCATGAAAATACTGGTGCAAGGCAGCCTCCTAGTATTGGCATTGTTTTAATCTGTTTCTAAAATGGACTCTGAACCATACACAAAGATTATTTATCCATTTATTGGACAAATACAATTACCAGTAAATTCTATGCATGAACACATGCATTCACATCCACATGCTCATGTAAAGAAGCAAGATAACATTATGACTTGACCATCAACAATCAGACAAAAGCTCTACATCAAGAACTACTCATGAATTAAAAGGATCTAAATTATACCTCTTGTATCACTCCAACTTTATTTGAGAATGAGAATCTTAAACATTTAACTGAACAGGATCACTATTATGTAGAACTATCATAAGTGTAATGACTTCTCTTCAAAACTATGCTTGATGCCTGGAAATATGAATCAGTCAGGCATGCATTGTTAATTATAGATCCAGAAGACAAGTCGATTAATCCCATGAATGTTAGCCTACATATCACTGCAGAGAAGTCTTCTCACTTGTGAATGGACGCAATCCTTCATTCTAAGGCTGACAGAGAAGGCTAAAAGGTCTTCTAATGGCTACACCTTTGTTCTGCTAAGAATATGGATCAATAGACATAGATCAGTTTCGTAAATTCATGTGCAATTTTTTATTTATTTATTTATTTATTTGATTTTTATACCGCCCTTCTCCAGCAGGATTCAGGGCGGTGGACAGTCAAAGTAAAAACACAACGTACAAAAATTAAAACAGTTTAAAAGATATTAAATAGTGTTGGCCACAATTTAAAATAACCCAGTTAAAATTAATTTCAAATTAAAACCAAAGGATGGGATCAAGCCAGCCCGACTAGATGAAATAAGTGAGTTTTAAGGGCCCGACGAAAAGTCCGGAGGTCCGGTATTGTGCGTATCTCTGGGGGTAGGCCGTTCCAGAGGGTGGGTGCTGCCACAGAGAAGGCTCTCCCCCTGGGGGTCGCCAGCCGACATTGTCTGGCCGACGGCACCCTGAGGAGGCTCTCTCTGTGAGAGCGTACTGGCCAGTGGGAGGTAATTGGTGGCAGAAGGCGGTCTCGTAAATATCCATGCCCTAAGCCATGGAACGCTTTAAAGGTGGTCACCAACACCTTGAAGCGCACCCGGAAGACCACCGGGAGCCAGTGCAACTTGCGCAGGAGAGATGTCACATGGGAGTGCCCCGTCGCTCCCATAATCCCCCGCGTGGCCGCATTCTGGACCAGTTGGAGCCTCCGGGTGCACCCCAAGGGGAGCCCCATATAGGAGAAAGAGTGGTTTGCTGGCATCCAAGGTCTTGAACGAACTGCCCTTTGGAACGAACTGTCCCCGGAAATACGCACAATCTCTGACCTCCGAGTTTTTTGCTGTGCCCTCAAGACCCTGATCTTCCGCCAGGCAGGGCTATCTTTGTAATGGAGTTTTAAATTTGGAGTTTTTAAATTTTTGGGTTTTTAAAGAATTTCAGCCGCAAATGTAAGAATTTTAATAATTTTTAAATTTAATTATGATGTTTGTATTGTGTTTTTACTTGGCTGTGCACCGCCCCGAGTCCTTCGGGAGAGGGGAGGTATAGAAATAAAATTATCTTATCTTATCTTATCTTATCTTGATAGTGTACTATCATTGTCATGAAACCTAATTCAGATATCTTCTATTAAAATCCAATAAAAAAATTCAAATTCCAGATCAATATTTAAAAACAATAAAGTGGAGTGAGGATGGGGGATTGGATTTTAGTCCATTTAAGACAGAGTTGATCAATAAAAATAGATCAGAGAAAAGAAAACATTATGTCTTAGTTTTATACTTTGGATTTATTTCTAGAATCTGCCATGACCCTTGTTATGCAGCTGTCAGTGTCAATCATATCTGCTCATGTAATATCAGTTTTAGACTATTAAGTCAGAATTAGCCAGGATGACATGTACCTTAAATACATATTATTTGAATTCTCTATGCGGTAACTTTTGAAAAGTAGTTCAAAAAATCCAAGTGTTTTAGAATGCTATAGCTAGACTATTAACTGGGAAAGGCTTAATCATTAATACATTTTTGGATTTTTAAAAATGTTTTTGAATATTGGCGAAATGAAGACCCTTTGAATTGGCAAGGTTTTATTGAATTCATCAGGTGAGTTTACACCTCCTTAAAAGACAGTGAGATAATTTTGATTGTAAAAGTTTTAAAAATATGATTTTTGGGGGAGACTATGCAGCAAAAGGATGCTTAGTATATAGATTTTTGAAAATTAAAAACTGATTAATGGGCAGAAAGATTTGGAATTATAATTTTGATTATTTACAAGATTATTATTTTCTTGTGGGAAAATGGGGATTGCTTTTTAAAAAAAAAAATGATAAGGAGACTTTGAAGGCTGGACATTAGAGCCAGAGGATAAAGAAATGGGAGCAGAACTCCTTGGTGCAAAGTTTTGAGTACTTTTCAGCTATGTTTTAGGACATAATGGATCAAATGCTTTATAAAATTGACAGAGCATATTGTAATGAAGTTATAAAACAAAACGGGTTGCAATGAATGTCTATGAAATTAATTTGAAGGGGGATTTTAAATGTGAAACAAATGAATCTGTTGGATGACTCATTCCCTAAAGGAGATGAACAGATATTAAACTAGGAAACTGATTTGGATATATATTTTTTTCTGGATGCACAAAAGAGCTCTGCTAAAATTTGGAAGGACTTTTTTTAGAAGTGAAAAACAGAAGGATAAATTTTACTTATTGATGTCAAAGAAATCTGTTAAAGTTTTGATGGAATTTTATTTTGAAACACAGATGAGAAGCAAACTACTTTTTTTTAATGGATTAAAAATAATTTAAAAACAACAACAATGATTTATAAGATTGTCTTGTTTGATTAGGCTTAATAGAGGAAAACAGTTATATCTAGTTTCCCTTAATGGACTTTTGATAAGAAAGATTGACTGAAGTAGCATTTGGACTTTGTTTTCCTTAACTATGAGATGAGCTATAGGGAGAAGAGAGATTATGCTTTATTTAGAAATAGTGATAAGCTGTTTAAAAAACCTGATAGGGTAAAGTTACCTCTTTTTTCTTCCTCCTTCCCTTCCCTTTTTTCTTTTTTTCCGTCACCCCCCCCCCCCAAACCACATTTTATACTCTTGGGTATTTTTATTTTGGTTTTTTTTTTTGTAGTTTGTTTTGATTTTAATTCTCTTAATTTATCATTCTTAATATTTTAATGCCCTTCTGTTCTTTACTTTGAATTCTAGGAATCATAACAATTAGTCTCAATTTAATAAATTAAATGAACTATGAAACACACTACTGTATCTGGTCCCTCTCATTTTGGGGGAATTTAGTAGTGTGCATAATCCTATGTCTGCTCCCCATTCCCTTCCTTCCTTCCAGCTCCCATGACAATACAACTACATCATCATCATCATCATCATCATCATCATCATCATCATTATTATTATTATTATTATTATTATTATTATTATTATTATTATTATTATTATTATTATTAAATCTTTAGTGAGATTCACAGCCTCGCAGCTTGAGTCCTAACCAAAGTCTAATCAAAGACCTAGGAACTGTTAAGGTATCGTCGGAGGATGTAAGCTGTTCCGAGTAAGGTGGTTTTTTGTAGAGTCAAATGTTCAAGCCCAGCAAATTTAGAATTTCTAAATAACGGGGTAACCCTTTGGGTATTGCTCCAAGGGCTCCAGTTACAATCGGGACAACACACGATTTCTTTTTCCACAGTCGCTCAACTTCAATTTGCAAGTCCCGGTACTTTGTGATTTTTTCTTGCTGCTTATCTTCAATCCGTGCATCACCAGGTATTGCAATGTCAATGAACCATACTTTTTTCTTTTCAACTATTGTTATGTCAGGTGTGTTGTGGACCAAGTGCCTGTCAATTATTATTATTATTATTTCAAAAATGTGAAGTCATAGTTGCCAGTTCTTTTAGTTGATGTTGGCCTTCATAACCATTGAGTTCTTCCCAAGAACCAAAGAAGTTGTAATGTATTGGCATAGTATAAGTGCAGATCTAAGTAGTGTGGCTTTGTAAAATTGACATATGAAAATTTTGTCAATGTGCAGATATTCTAAGTGCCACACAAGATGTCTTGGTATGGCACTCAGCATGCTGATGACCACAGGGATTACCTTGGCCAGTTTATGATACCTTGTGTGTGGTTGTTATTATATACATAAAAGTGTAAAATCACAGCTGCCAGTTCTTTAGGTAGTGTTGGGTTTGTACGGATCAATTTATTTGATTATCATTATTATTTTAGAACATATCCCTGCTTCCTATTTTCTGACAATAACCCTGAAAAGTACATTAGACTGAAAGACATTAGGTAACTTGTATGCAATTATAAAGACAAGTTATTAGAATCTGATCCAATAAATTTAATGGAATTTATTCTCATGTATATGATTGCAGACTACCTATAACTCGAATCTTACACAAATGAATTTATTAAGAAAGTAATCAACAATTCCAATCCCATTGTTTTAGACATTTGACAAAGCAATTTCCAATGATCAATTTTGTATTAATTTGTTATTAAATTTCTATAAATTTACAGGAATTTTGATCTGAGCAAAGATGTGTTCCACTGGTTTGTTTTCCTGACTCACACAGTATATTCAGCAGAAGACATAAGAATGCATGAGCATAAATGCACAAATTCAAAACAACACAATGGGCATGATGTAACTGCTGTTTGTCTCAGCATCCCACCTACCATTTCATCCCATGTGATAAGCCAATAGTAGTTATCTGTTATAAGTCTTGCTCTACTGGATGGGCTGGGATATTTCTTTTTAAACAGTAACCTAATCACAAGTTAGAAAATAGTTCTGAGAAGAATCTAGAATATTCCATTCTGGTGCTTGAAACACTAAGCATGTTTTGCTTAGAGCACTGAATAGTTGGAATGGCTATTTTGAGCTATTTCCAGCTTAGAATACTTTATACACCCTAAATCCTAAACCTGATCCACTTTTAATTTTATAGAATAGAATAGAATAGAATAGAATAGAATAGAATAGAATAGAATAACAGAGTTGGAAGGGACTTTGGAAGTCTTCTAGTCCAACTCCCTGCTTAGGCAGGAAACCCTACATGACTTCAGACAAATAGTTATCTAATCTCTTCTTAAAAACTTCCAGTGTTGGAGCATTCACAGCTTCTGGAGGCAAGTTGTTCCACTAATTAATTGTTCTAAATGTCAGGAAATTTCTCTTTAGTTCTAAGTTGCTTCTTTCCTTGAATGGTTTCCACCCATTGCTTCTTGTTCTACCCTCAGGTGCTTTGGAGAATAGTTTGACTCCCTCTTCTTTGTGGCAATTCCTGAGATATTGGAACACTTATCATTATTATTATTATTATTATTATTATTATTATTATTATTATTAATTACCATTATCATCCTCACCAGCGTACTATCCTTGCATCACAAGTCAGGTCAATAGAGATAATATGAATGATTGGTCCAAAGTCCTCCAGTGAGCTATGTCCCCAATTGTCTTATATGCTAATAACGATACCACATTGGCTTTCTGATATAATTTTGAAGGGTGTCTAGTGATAGGATTTCCCTTGTGTTCTTTGGGAAGTATTAAGAAATATTGATTAAGTTAGAATCCATGCTTTTTCATACCTGTTTGGAGAACATTATTATTGTCCTGAAAGTGTGTCCTGCCTTCATTGTCTCCTTTGCCTTCCAAGGTGGGATTGTAGTGGCGAGGCTTCATTAACAGAGATTTCCTTTTGTTGATTGGAACTTCCAAAATCTGTTCTTCAGCTTTTCTCTTCTTAGCCATGGAGTTTTTGTAGGCACTGTATTTATACAAAAGCTTTTAATAATGGAAAAAAATAAAATGAAAGACATTGCACAAGAAAAATAGTATAACCGAAGCTATAAATGAATGGATCCTGTAAAAGTGTGTATGTATGTGCATGGACATATGTTGGTATGCTTAATTTTACTGGATGGAATTAAAGGTGAAGACCCTTTTCAGAATGTTTTATTTTCTAATGTAACCAAAAGTCTAAAGAGGCACAATACATACATTTTAAGGAAAAGAAAAAGTCATCCTTAATTCTGAATAGAACATGTGTTAATATAATCTCAGCTCTTGATTAGATTATATGTGTCCAGGAGTAGATAAGGAGAGATCAATAATGATTTGTTAATCCCCAGAGAGAGCTAATATGAAAATTCCAGTTGATTGTGTCTAATTTCGTTATTTTGTTCAGATGAGTACAGTTGAATTATAACCATTTGAATGGTTTGCTCTTTTTCTTGTATGTGACAACCAAGGAACTGAGCTTTAGAAATGGACAAAGAGATAGACAGAAATTCATAGAAAAGGTACATTTGGATTGTGATCTAAATCAGAATCACCACATGATCTGCAATGCAAGATATTGCTGCAGCATTTCTGAGCCACCACGATGTCTTACTGTCATAGCTAAATCATTCAAAACTGTTATACAAACTCTGGTTTCCTTCTTGTAGTTTTCAGTAGAGAAGAAATTAAACACACACACACACTAACAAACATTATTCTATCTTATGTTTGACATTCTCTAAGATATTTAAAGATTACTATAATAATCAACTTAATCTCTTCTTCTTTGCTCAATATGCTCAGTTTTTGCAGTTTGTTTTTCATTGGATTAAGTTTTTATGGTTCTGGTAATTCTTTTCTAGTCCCACTTTGATCTATATTATGGCTACTATGTTTTCCCGAAAATAAGACCCTGTCTTATATTTTTTTGAACCCTGAAATAAGCGCTTGGCCTTATTTTCAGAGAGGTCTTATTATTTTGGGGCGTGTAGAGCAAGATGGGGCTCTTCTTGCCATCTTGCCTGATTTCCAGCTCTGTATTTAAATATTTTTGGGGACGGCTTATTTTCAGGGGAAAGCTTATTTTAGCACATGCGCTCAAAAGCCCGATTGGGCTTCTTATCAGGGGATGTCTTATTTTCGGAGAAACAGGGTATATAGATCAGATTTCAAGATAATTGTTTTGGGGGCTAAATAGATTTATTCTGCATCTTCAATTATAATATGCTATATATTTATAGAGTTCTTTTTCTGACTTTATAATCTGGAAATGCCACAACTCGATAGCAGCCACAAACTGCTATGAAAGATTTGCAAGTAACCCCCATAACTCTTTCAAACCTTATAAGCAATATACAAGGAGTAACATTTTTTTTATTTGATTTATATTAACTGCATTTAAATTTATTTCTTAAATTTATTTGCCACTTATCTCATTTCAAAAGTCTCTGGGCAACTTACAACATAATACACATTAAAAACATTAAAATCATAAAATATAAAATTACAGAAGACACAGAATCAAATCATTTATTTATTTAGTCTATGGCATGCAATGTCAGAGAAATTTACAAGTGCTAGACAAAATGCAGTCTTGACAGCCTAAATTGCTAGTTCATTCTGTTCAGTGCTTGGGTGCCTATCCTTGGTGCACCATAGTGGGCAAACTAGGTTACACCAGCTGACTAGCAGCACTTCGTTTCATGCTTTCAAACTGTTGGATGGGCAGGAACTGGGGAACAAGTGACAGGAGCTCACCCAACCACACAGAGCCAGGCTCAAACTGCTGGAGTACAAACCATTTCTGGCTGGCAGTTCCAGCACCATTAAGCCGCTGAGTCACTGCTTCCCCTACAAAATCATGGAAAAGGAGGGAGCCAGATATATTTGGGGGGAGGGATTAGTTAGTCAACCACCTCCAGTGTGAAATTCCCCCATTGGGACCCCAAGCCATCTGGCAGAACCAGGTTTTAAGGCTCTTATGAAAAGTCAGGAGGGTGGGAACCAATCTCATTTCAGGGGTAAGATGTTCCAAAGGGCAGGAACCATGGCAGAGAAGGTTCTTCTCCTAGACCCCACCAGCCAAAATTCCTTGACCAAGGGGATCCGCACCGTATGCCTTCTCTGTGACTCAATTAATTGTATTACATTTAAGAAAATGAAACCACATTTAATATGTATCCTGATCCCATTCACTTCTTTATTTTGGCTTCACTTTCTGGATTGTGGTAACAACATTCAATCCAAAAATCAGATGCAGCCCATAACTTCCGGAAAGAGTTGAATGCATTTCCTACCTAACAAATCATATGGAGGTGTTCCCTAAGACTGATTATTTTTTTAAAAAAAATATTATGTACTACATTCTAAGAAAGTATAAAAATGTTTTATTGTTTGTTAACAAAGTTGAATGGCTGGAAATGAGTATCTTTCAGCCAGAAGGGTCATAAAAAAACTTAAAAAAATATTCAGACTTGATATATATGTTCTTTGAAAAGTCCAGTGTCACCTGCTGAAAATTCTATATTTACTCTTAAAAAAAAAGATTCATTATCTGTTGTTCTCTCTCAGTTATGCAATATGAATAAAACCATTATATCTGTCACAGATGAAAAATTGCATTTATGGATCAGTGTAATCCACTCATTGGTTGCTGGACTCAACTCCCCTAGGGAGTATGACAATTCAACATGATACCACTGGTTGTTAAATTTTGCATTTGGCTCATTGATCTAGCAGAAAGATTTGCAAAAATCCCTGTCTCCAGACAGCTCCCTGTTGGTTACACATATTATGAGGCTCAACAGCATAAATTCATCTTTAACTTATGTGCACTAAATTGGCTCCAGTTTGGATTGTTTTGGATGATGGCATATGACTAACTTAAGCTTTTTACTTTTTCTTTTTAAATCCAAGTTGGCAAGGCTTCTTCTTGGCAAGCTACCATTACAAATATGAAGGACAGGGAAACAAATGTGAAGATCTTCACTGCGGCAAAAGTTAAAGCACAACCGAATGCATTTTAAATTGTAAATTCTCTTGCTCTGTCACAATGTTGCACAAAGCAAGAGACCAAAATAATGGATTCCTTCCAATCCCTCTATTTAAAATGACTATGGTTTATGTGGCATATTTATCTGCTACAGCAAAGCAAATGCCACAAAGCAGTGTACATGGTACACAGGTAAAGAAGTGTAATTGGTGGATTGGAATAATTAAAATTGTGCATCAAGTTGTTTTTTTTTCTTCATGTAACTTTTGAAAAATCACTTGCCAATTAGGCTCTGCTGGTTATATAGGAATTCAAAACAGTTATATAGGAATTCAAAACAGGCAGGTTTTTCTCAGGTTGCATGTACAAACTATATGAATATAATTTCTTTGGATTGCAGAGCTCCTTCTATTCATAAGAAAACTAAGATGACTAGGAACAAACATGTTGTGTTCATAAATAGGCTAAATATCACAAATATCAAAGTTCATGGCAGCGCCTTAGATGCATAAATGGGAGCCATAACACATTTTTGTGTTATGTTGTGTAACTGTAGAATAAAGGATTAAAACCCATAAGATCATGAACTATAATTGAGGTAAATATTTCTCTTTTACTTTCCATTGAATATAACAATAAAATTACTTTCAATGGAAAGTAAAAGAGAAATATTCACCTCACTTATAGTTCATGATCTTATGGGTTTTAATCCTTTATTCTACAGTTACACAACATAACACAAAAATGTGTTGGCCTCCCATTTATGCATCCAAGTGGCTGCCATGAACTTTGATATTTGTGATATTTAGCCTATTTATGAACACAACATGTTTGTTCCTAGTCATCTCAGTTTTCTTATGAATAGAAGGAGCTCTGCAATCCAAAGAAAAACAGACTGGTTTTTTATAATGTCACTTATGATAGGCATGATTCAAAGAACTTGGAGACAATTACTTTTTTGTTTCCTTTCATCTACTTTCTTCCTTATCCAAATTAATATTCCATGGGCAAAACTATCTGATATTGACTGGGAGCAGGTGGTGGTGGTAGAATTGATAAGAAACTGAACTTTAAGATACATTGAATCTTAACATTGATATAAAGGTATTAATAAAAGAAACGGGAAATGGTTTACAATTTATTAGATAATAAATTTGCATGCAAGTTTCTTTGTATGTGTTTATTAATCATGCATGTGTGTGTATGTGTGTGTGTGTTAAGCACATCCAACTGTGTCAGTCAACTAATGAAATTATTTTGTACGTGGAAGTACCTAACAGCTCAGAAGTAAAGAAGCTGTTGTGGCCCGCCAGCGGCCTGCACAGCCGGTGCTCGTGTCAGACAGCGAAGAGGCTGAAGAGGATGTGGTGCCAGAGGCAGAGACTCAGCCAGGGTCTTCAGAACCTCCAGAGGCTCCTTCAAGTGAAAAGAGGGAAGTGGAGGAGCCTCTCCTCAATGCTTGAGCACGCAGGGCTGCCAAAAGGCAGGAGTGGCTACTCAGGAGGAGGAGGTCTCCTTGAAAGTAAGGCTTGAGGATAATTGGCCACTCCCTTAGCCTATTTAAATCACACGCCGTTAGTAAGTTTCTTGCTAGAAACAACGTGTAATTATCATCAGAGCATTTTTTTGGAAAAGTCTTATCGTATCTTGCTTTCTGGGCTGGTTGCCAACCTTTGCTGGACTTGGTTTATTTTTGCTTCTTAATAAACTTGATAAGGACCGTTGGTGTGTGTCAATATCCTTGGGAACCCGAAGCTGAGGCAGAACAGAAACCAAGAATTTTCACCAATGGGAAACTACACCTTCCCAAATCTCTATAGCACCTTCTAATTGTAAATTGGCCTCAGATCGGTTACACTTGTGGTGCAAGTGAGCTGAAAGTAAATTGACTCAGTTGTCCAATGGGAATATGTTGTGAGATCACAGGTTTATAGGAACAGTATAAATACCAGATACGGATTTAGCTCTTGTGCCTTTGAGATTTCCATTTTACT